ACGGTAGCTTGGTTGTTGAAACTAACTTCAATGCATCGTCATCCAGATATATAGTTTTTGACATACATAAATATTTTTAATGTTTCTTTCTTATTAAATCATTGTACTATCAAAGTGCAATGCTTAAATAAGAAAAGAAAAAAAAGCAAATTAAAAACGAATCTTTTAAAGAAAAAAAAGACAGGAGCTTCTGGTATAATTTTTGATGCATGGGGCCTCTTCAAATTTTGTATGTTTTTGTTCATACAAGTATAATGTTAATATTTTTAGTAAGGCTCATAGCAACCATTTACTGATATTAGGTAAAAAACAAATAACAAAGGGTAAAATAGTCTTTTTTGTCAATCAAATGGGAGAAAGTGTAACAGTTTGCTGAATGAGTAACATGGTCATTTTTATAACACCTAGCTAGCTAATCTTTTTTTATTATTATGTAAAACATGAAGAAAGAATTGATAGAAATCTCTTATGTCAACAAAAGAATAAGTTTGTTATTAATATTCGATTAATAAATTATAATGGTGGAAGATAATGTTAGATTGTTGGCTAAGTAAGTGATTATAAGTTACTTTCACAAATAATTTTTCCTAATAACTATTAATGTACTGGACAAATATTAGAAAACATTTTTTGGTTTCATGTTTACCAAACTATTATGAGAGACCGAGAGTATATATTAAAAATACATATATTGTAAAACATGCCTTAAACAAAGAGACACCACCGTTATTATTAGCTTTATAAAGTAATAATATAGTCCATGTTTGAATAAATGAACATAATTGTCCCTGTATAAAAACTTATGTTTAGTTAATTAAAGGGCATTTTGGTCTTTTTTGAGGATTGGAATGTGATAATAAGGGATTGAAAGTTCGGTTAATCTATACTATTTCAGAGATTGACATGAAGGTATAAAAGAGGGGCATACTTGGTATAATAAATTTGAAAAGTTTGGAATTTTGGTTGAGCTTTTCGAGGAATGGAATGTGATAATAAGGGTCTCGATCAGAAACTGTTTGACTGTATTAAGCAATAACATATATGCTCTGATTTATCAATAAATGATATAAAAATCTTGGATTTTGGACGCTTCAAGTTACATGCTGCACCAATCAACTGTTGATACACCTATAATATTCAAGATCCAACCAAGAAAAGTCCAAAATCTTTTATTGGCTGTAAATTTAATGCATAAAAAGGATCAAATAATTATTATACCCTGATATTTTCCTTGAATATTGGACATAAAGTAAATAGGTGTTTCATGATCTAGAATGTATACTATTTTGCCCCTGTTACTGCATCCCACAACTGTAGAAAGCTTCATATTATATGAAGTTATATGTATATGTCATTAGAAAACTAAGTATAGAGAATGAATAAAACCTTTAATTGCATCTTCAATTGGTAACTCTTTCTATATCGTTATGGGGTTACCAGATACATAAGCTGCAATTGAAGCTTCTAAAAACTACTGCTCATCAGAACCTGTAATGTGTATGATGCAAAATTGTCATAAGTAAAGAACAATAGGTGACAACTCGATGAGATGACAATTTGAAGCGCTTCATAGGTGACATAAAAATTAATTAGAAGTTATAACCAAAATCAAATACTAAAAACATAAATTTTAGTTAAAATAGGTCCAATTAGAACATTTTGATCATCTACAAAAAAAACAACAGTTTCACCCAAAATCTACCAAGAAACCCTATATGTAAAACAAATTCCCTTCCCTTTTGTTGCATTCTCCCAGTTTAGATTGACCATATATCAATTGAATTCATACAAAAATGAAGATCATTAGAATCAAATGGTAAATGATAACTTAATTACACGGCCCTTGACTAATATTTTTTGCTTCTAGTACAACCAAAAATCAAACATACGACAATCAATCATACAACAACAGTAAGTAAAAGAATGTTCATGAAAAGTTCAACAATTCTACTAAGGATTTTCATTTTCAGTAATTCACTAAACGTCATGAAAAGGGTTAGAAATTTTTTATAAAGAAAGATAGACACCCGATGGTGAATCCATGGTGTAGAAACGGATCCAAGAACAAATCCATGTAAGAAGAAAAAAACGATGACAAAGGGGGTTCAAGAAGAGAAGGTAGTGGCAGTTTGTGTTGGTGAGCGTTACCTCAAAGCTAAATAAAAAAAAATCAGCATATTACTCACACTTGGTATACTTGGTATAGAAGATCTGAAAACTCGAACCCTAAACCATATGATTTCACCTGTCTTTACAGAAGATCTGTTAATTTATAGAGGAAATCGAACATATTTTTTTTCTTTCAAAAATTGTCCTCTGTTGATATTATGAATGAAAAGTTAACATGTATCAATGGATGTAAGCAAGAATCAAAATCTGTATAGGATTTTAGAGAGAGAAAGGATGAAAGCGTTTTCAAAATTTGAATTTCAATGTCATATTCATTTCAAAGAAACAATGAGGATGAAGCAAGGTTTGTAGATGGTAACTTAGGGTCATTAACCATGAAGCATACCTGAATCAAGGTTACGGTGAATGTGAAGGGAAGGGAAGGGCCAGCCACGGGCAACTGGTTTGCCACGAATGTTGCAGCAACTGAGATGGAGATGGAGAAAAAGTAGGTTCTAAAGGATTTTGAAATTAAATTGCAGAGCGATTCAAAGGATCGAAATTTGGGGCAAGATTTGATTGAAATTTTGAAGATTAATTCCTGATTTTTTATTGGATTGATTGAAACGCCCGATTGAGGAGGAAAATCCAAGAGCAGGAAAAAAAAGTAAGAAAGTCTTAGAAAATGTCACGTGTCATAGGAATGGTTTAAAAAAATGACATGTGGCATCTTAAAGACATTTTTATTAGGCAGAGAGATTGCAACCATATAAGTGTAATCAATGATTTTTTGCTATTCACTAAATATTTTAAGTTATTTGATTTGATTTGATTTTGAATTCGAATTTTAGCTACACAAAGGACAATTAGTTATAACTTTGAAGATGACCGAATGATATTACGAATTTAATTTCTTCGTAACATTTGTTATAGTACATATTGTGTCTTATTGCTTTAATTGTGCGTCGCCTTCTCTGTCGAACCAAAATTTCCAATCAAAATTTTAGCTCCTAAACATAAAGTTTAGAACTTGTAGTGGCCACGTCTTCTATATAATCCAACCTTTGGCTGGTCCATATGAGTTCATGCTAACATAGTGTCTTTATTTTTGGAAATTACAAAGCGAAAAAGATACTGTACAATACAAACTTTTTGACGTTCTCACAGTATTAGTGAATATGCTTTAATATAGTTTCATTCTTTCAAAAGAAACCACCAAAGCCAACATCTAAAACGACAATGGGTACCTCATCCATAAACCTTCAAATTGTCTTGCTTTTACAGATGGCAAAAGGCCATATAATACCAATGGTGAATATAGCCAAAATACTAGCCTAAATGGGGTGTAACAGTTACTAATGACAACTCTTGTGAACTAAAAATGTTTTACATCAGTTATCTATTGGGAAATCGAAGCTAAGCTCAAGATTCAAATTCTTGAACTCCAATTCCTATTTGCTGAATTTGAGTAGCCCGAAGGATGCGAGAGTTTTGACTTGCTTCAATCGGATGCGTCCATAAGCCAATATGTTCAAAGCTATGAAGATTTTAGAAGAACCGACGGTGAATATGCTTAAGTTTTTATGTCCACCATATCTATTTATTTTATCATTTTTGTGATTAAGTTGAAAATTACTTTGATGATTTGGATGCATATAGTTATAATGCTTTATTTATTTATTTATCATTCAACCGACTATTCAAAAAAATGTATCACTAACAAGTGATAAAAGTTTTAGTTTGAAGATTCCTCAAAAAGATGCATTAATAGCATCCATGAAAGACTAGAAATCTAAGAATTCCACTTTTTTCTGACTTCTACACCTATTTGAAATCCAACTAAAAGAAATGTTGATACAATTGAATAAAATGTTATCCTCTTTTCCTTTAGGCCTCGTTCCCGAGTTTAACAAAAAAAAAGAGAAGAGAAAAGAAAGTCACGAGAGAAAATAAGAGAAAGGAAAGGAAAACAAAATTTTCTTTTGTGTTCCCGAGTTGGAGAGAAGTGGAAGGAAATTAATCATTTTGTTCTTTCTTTCCAAATCCTCCTAAATCGGAAGGAAAGTTAGGAGGGAAAGTGATCCTCCCATTTCCCTCCACTTCCTTCCAATTACCTCCTTTAATGAAACTCGGGAACACCAATTTCTTTTATTTTCTTCTCATTTCCACCCATTTCCTTTTCTTTCTCTCCTTAAGTTGAACTCGGGAACGAGGTGTTAAAGTCTTAAAACCGAGGAAGTTTCTGAACTTCCAAATTTCCCATATTAACTGGTTGCATCTTTTAGCATCAATTTCGCAACCGGGTTACTCTGGTAGACTAGGGATGATCAATACGCCTCTACTTGGATCTAGTTTAGATTTAATATCTTGTATTTGCTTCGTTTCTCTATAGATTTGTCCGCGTCTCTCCCTTAGCTTTAGTTGGATCACTCATTGGGACCTTGTATTTTCTTATTCTTTATATTAATAATTTTTGTTGTACTTCAATCTCTTTTCAAGAGAAAAAAACATCATCACCCCGATGAATAATATTGCATCGACATAATATTGATTACATTGTACAATAAAATCGAAAAGGATAATTACAATAATAATTAGTATGATTTTATAATTAATGCTAAAAATATAGTAGTCTAATACTTTGGTTACCGTCTTTTTCAAACCAAATTTTCCAGTAACATCAATGTAGTTAATTAGATGATGCCAAACATAAAATGCAATTCGTAGTGATCACACATTCTAGAACTATCAGCTTTAGGATGGGCGGCTGGGCCACATGAGACCATGCTACATTGCTACCATAGTTATCATCTAATGTTTTCATGTTTTTGTTTTACGTAACTTGTCTTTTTTCTATTTTCTTTTTTGAAAACTTCAAAGCAAAAAGACATATGGCGTACGCACTTACCGATGCTCTCATGGTCCGTATTTGTCGTAGAAGTGGTGCATATGCTTCGGTAGTTTCAGAAAGAACCACCAAAGGCAACATCATATCTGAAACAGCAATGGCTGCCCCTTCCACCGACCTTCACTTCGTCTTGCTTCCACTGATGGCTCAGGGCCATATGATACCCATGGTGGACATCGCCAGGATACTAGCCCAAACCGGAACAACTGTTACCATAATCACAACTCCTGTAAACGCAAACCGTTTCAAATCAGTCATTGAACGTGCAATCGAAGCTGAGCTCAATATCCAAATGCTTGAACTGCAATTCCCATTCGCTGAATCTGGTTTGCCCGAAGGATGCGAGACTTTTGACTTGCTTCCATCAGCTGCGCATATAGTCAATATGTTGAAAGCTATGAAGATGTTCGAAGAACCATTTGAGAGGATGCTTCAGGTTCTATGTCCTCCTCCAAGTTGCATCATCTCCGATGGTGCTTTTCCTTGGACTGCCGATGTGGCAAAGAGACTAAATATCCCGAGGCTTGTTTTCTATGGGCCAGGATGCTTTCCTTTCCTGTGCATTCACATATTGAACAAAACTAATATACTAGACGAAATTAAATCCAACTCAGAGTACTTTGCGCTGCCCGACCTGCCCGACCATATTGAAGTTACCAAACCTCAGGCTTCAGGCTGGGGAAAGGGAAACAGAAAAGAAACCAAAGAGGTGTTTGAACAAACACAAGAAGCTGAGAAAGCTACATTCGGAATTGTGGTTAACAGCTTTGAAGAGTTGGAGCCCATGTATGTTGAAGCGTTCGCAAAGGCAAAAGATACAAAGGTGTGGTGTATAGGCCCGGTTTCTTTATGCAACAAAAGTTTTCAAGATCTAGCGGAGAGAGGAAACAAGGTTGTGAGAAGCGAGCACGATTGCATGGAATGGTTGGATTCAAGGGAACTAAAGTCAGTAGTCTATGTTTGCTTGGGAAGTCTATCGCATGCATCCACAGAACAAGCCATTGAGCTTGGGTTAGGATTGGAGTTATCGGGAATACCCTTTATTTGGTGTGTTAGGCAGCCTCGTGAAGAATTTGAGAGATGGGTTTCAGAAGAACAATATGAAGAAAGGATCAAAGGTAGAGGCGTAATGATCCGTGGTTGGGCACCTCAAATCTTGATATTGTCACACCAAGCGATTGGGGGTTTCATAACACATTGTGGTTGGAACTCGACTCTAGAAGGGATTTGTGCTGGGATTCCAATGGTTACATG